CTTATCTCAGAGGTTGCCGTGCCAAGACACACACAGGTGAGCTGAGGGAAGGCTCTGACCTGATCCAGAATTCCCTTGTTCAGATGCAGTTGGAGTCAAGCCCTCACTGCAATAAAAACATTTCTGCAGTTCACAGTATATTTTAATTTAATATTGTTTGACTGAGAGTCATAATAACAACTTTTGGTTTTTTTTTTCTTTTTCCCTTTGTGATGTTTTGGAAGCACTGAATTATTTAAGCAGAATGGCACTCTATCTTTGTATTTTCATTAGATTTCGGGATTGCAGGATTTGCTGGTAAGCATAATCAGAATTATCCTAGATGGTAGGTGTGTTCTCATGCCAGAAAATGACTGAGGCTACAATTCCAAATTCCACAGCAACCCCAAAAAGCCAGAATTATTTGCTTTACAAGGGAGAATTTCTAGTCGTATCCAGAATTTTAGGTGCATCCAGAGGCTGTTCCCAACATACAGCCAATGTTGGACCTCCTGATTCTGTACCTCTATTTTAATGAAGCACACAAGGCGGATGGGGGATAAAAATTATAATTGATTGATTGATTTTTTAATTATGCCTTCTGCTTCATGTGGGGCTGAGCTTTAGGACTTCTGCCTAGTCCTGCCGAAGTCACCAGGAAGATTTTTTTTGCTCCAGCAGGATTTGATTAAGGTCAATTTGATTTTTCTCACTGATCTGAGGTGGATAAAGATCCTCAGAGGTGTGGAACATAGATTCTAGTCCTAGCCAGGTACAGAAGCTGATTATTTGGGCACAGACAGGCAAGATGGGGCTGTGGGTCAAAAACTGCTTTGGAAACAGTTTAACTGATGCAAGACCTGCCTTAATTTGCCCCCACCCTTTCTCCATCTCCACACACCCCTCAGCTGTGTTGGAGACCTCCTGTTGCTTCCCCACCAGGGATTGCTCAAATTGGGATAACACAATTTGCTAAAAATTGGGATAACACAGCTGACTTTGCCCTGAAGTGGAAAAGGGGCATTTAAACTGAATTCCTGGGCTTGGTGGCAGCTCCCAGCAGGAGGAGCAGTGACTTTTAAAACAGCTCTAAAAAGAGGGAGGCAGATCGAAGGCAGCATTTTGGAGACCTCTCAAGTGAATCAATCTATACCCAGTGAGGTCAGTGACGAGAGAGAGACAACAGGAACAGAAGTCTCTGCTTATATCTTAATTAATTTTATGTCTATGCAGAGTTTTCAGGGGTAGTTATTGAAATATGTTTAGATTTTCCCCCACCACCCTGAAATTTTGAGAGGATGGGCCAAGGTTCCTTTGCTTGGCTGGAGCCAGAGTCACCTGCTAAACTTCCACCTAATTCTGTACTTGCTAAGCACAAAGATTGGCCAGAAACATCAAAATCAGCTAATTTTTTATAGTTCTGTTTGTTTTTTTTTAAAATTATTTTTCACGTATATATAGGTTAAGGCCAAAAACTGGCTAAAGTGTCTCATTTAAAGAAATTAATAAAATCTTTCTGCAATTCTCCTGTTACCCCTAAATCAGCTTCATTTAGTGCCAAACCTTCCCTCCTCTTTGCTCCCCCCAAGTCATTTTTATTCTAATGCTGCAATAAATATTAATGCCTTTCCCAGATGCAACATCTTAAAATAAAACCCCACATTTACACACACACATACACGCATATATATGTATATGGGTATATATATGTATATACAACAACCTCCCAAATATTTCATACAGATGCCCACTTGCAGCTCAAATTTGGAGGAACTCTGAAAAAGAGAAAAAGAAAGGTGTGGTTCAACTGGGAAAACAAAAGAAAAAAAGATAAAAATCCTTGTGTGGGCAGCTAAATGAAATTAAATCTAAATTTTGGGGTGATAGGAGGGAAATTGTCATAGCGCAGCATATCCAGTGATCCCCAACAAATCTCTTAGCAAAATAAATTCTGCCACGATGTTTAAGTACTAAAAGAAAACTGAGCACTTTCTGAATTTTGTGGTATCTTAAAGCAGCAAAAATTTCAGCATTTTTGAGCTGTCCATCAATTCCAGAAAGTCGAGGCTCCTCTAGGACATCTCAGAGGGATCCCCAAATTTCCGGGGTGAAATATCCAGGCTGAGCCTGCCCAGCTCCGTGGGTTTGGGTGGGTTTGGTGCAGTTGGGAGGATTGGGAACGCTCAGCGCCGCGGCAGCTCAGGGAATGGGCAAGTTTTGTTTTCTGTGGTTTTTTTTTTCTTTTTAATGGCCATTTCCCTCCCTCACCAGCACAAATCAGCCTGGATTTAATTGGAATCCAGCTCCATTTTCAAGTGTGCTCTTGGTTTGTGTTTGCTGGGGGTCTGAACCCTGATTTTCTGGAGGCATTTTAGCAGAAAAAAGGTGATTTTTGTTCCTTGCCCACGCCGTGTTGCAGAGTTTGCTCCTGGATGCCGTTAAAGGTACATTTGGAATTTTTGCCTTTCTGGAGCTGCCTTTTAGGGGTTGTGTCACTCAGTCCCCCAGGATTTGTCTTCTTCCCAAAATCAGCCCAGCTGACACAGCAAATTCTCTCCCAAACACTTTTCCCTGCTCGTTTTCTTCATTCTTTGGTTCGTGTTGATCATTTTTCTCATCTCAATCAAAAGGGATGCAAGCATTCTAAACATTAAAAAATAAGCTGGCTGTTTTCCTGCTTAATTTATTTTACATTTCCTTGGAAGTAACAACTTGTGGATTTTTTTTTTTTTGTGGTTTTCCTGCAGAATCACCAGCCAGCAGCTCATGGATTTTCATATAGAAGTTCCTTGTCTTGGTTCATTTTATAGTTTGGTTGCATTCTGGAGTTTTCCTTTTCTCTTATAAGCTGTTTGTATATCTGCAAATATTATTTCTTTATATCTCTAAGAAAAGGGAAAATAAAAAAGAGTGTTTGTGAGTAACATTTATGCCTCACATTACCCTGTGTCTCCGAGGGTGCCAGCGTGCGGGGAATTTTTCCTTCTGAAAATATTTTTATGGATAAAATCTCACCAAATCTTTCATATAAAAGAGGTCACAAGTTTTAAGCAGGGACTCGACAGGACTTATTTAATAAAATATATTCAGTGCTTCTCTCAGGGCATGAAATCCTGTAGGATTTTTAGTTTGGAAGCCACGGAGGTGCCCAGGGCTCTGTTGGCAGAAGTTGCCCTCTGAGAGGTGAGCACTGACACCCCTTTCCTGCTGAAGGGAGACCTGAAATGAGAAGGAAATGTGGAGAAAATGACACTCTCACCTCGAGAAAACAAACGTTTTAAAAAATATCTAATATATTTGTGAGATATTTAAGGGAATAATAGTTAAAATTAGGACATTTTAATTTAAACGGGTCCCTGGCCAGGGTGGATTTTGGGTTTACATGGCACAATCTGTGTCTTTTTTGTGGGTGAGGTTTTCAGAGGGGTTTGGTTTGTTCCAGTAACGCACAAATGGATCCAACCCGTGGCTTTTTCTTTGTATTTCGGGGCAGATGGAGGAGAAATCTTGTGGTGGGAGTAGTGCAGAGAAAGTGGCACTACCAAGGGAGAGCAGATTTCTGTGTTTTTGTCTTGTGCTGGGGCTGGTTTGGAGGGTGTTGTTGGTAAACCCAGGAAATATCCATCTTTCTCCTTTAAAGTTCTAATTCAAGGCATGAATGTGTGAGTTCTGAAGGGACTTAGGGACTGCGGTAAAAAATCGTTGTCATAGTAACAGAAAGGGAAATAGGCCTGGCTCACCTGGGACTTTAACTTACTGCAAAAGCAGATTTATTTTTTTTTTTTTAAAGGAAAGCACTCAGCAAGAAAAATAAATAAATAACTTGTTCTTTGTATTCAAAATCAATTCTTCAACTATTTATTTTTTCTTGTATATGACTCTTTTTCTTTCTAAATCTATCTCAAAGTCTTTGATTTATTTTTTTAATTATAATTGTTGCGGTTAAACCCATCTTGTCTGACAAATAGAAAAGGAAAGAATCCCAGAGAATATTTTCACTTACAATAGAGGATGCCAAATATTTCTTGCTTATGCCGAAATTTTGAAGATTGTTTGTTTTGTTTTTAATCCAACAACTGTGGCTTTTCACACAATTTCTTTACCTCTGAAATGTCCAGATTAAAGCAGAAAACAAAGGAGTGAATCCTTTCCTCCGTGCATGCGAGACAAAATTTGGTGGAATAGCTTAGAGAAAAATTCCTGCTTAATATTTCTAAACTCTAAAATCTCCACGCAGTATTGGGGAAGGCACCAGAGAGGCTGGAGATTCAGCCTGGGTACGTGACAAAATAACTCTACAGAATAATAAAGCAGATGAAGATGGGTGTGTGTGACAGGGCAAAAATAATTGGCACGGGAACTTTGTGGGATATTAATGGGTTTATCTGCTGGGACAGCGTGAGCTGTCATGTTTCACTGGAACTCGTGTTTTCCTTATCCTCCCTCCAAATCCAGGTAGGAACAATCTGGGCTTTTGGCAGTTCTGTTCCTCTGCTTTTGTGACAGGAATCTTCATCAGGAAAAAAACATCATCAGGATGAAACCTCGTCAGATTCTTCTCCGAGCTGTGTTTGCTGCTGGGTTTTTCACACGTTCCAAGTCATTCCAAGGCTGATCTGCCTTGGGGTTGCCCTGGTGGTTTTGTGGTTTCCACAATAATATTTTCCTTCTGTATTGTTTCATGGGAAGTCCCTCCAGACAGCCAAAGAAAGAGCTGGAATGTGAGGGAGAGATAAGGAAGAGACTAAAATTATGTGGTCAAACCTGCAGAGAGGGAGTGGGTGTAGAACAGAGTTTTGTTCACTTACACCACGGTGGATTTCAGTCACACTGGTTATACTTTACCTGTCATTTTTTGCAAATTCCATTTATTTGAGTTTGGTTTGTTTGTGTTTTGATAAATTCTTACAGTCCTATAAGATCCACTATCATGCAAACCACTTCATGTACATTTTAAACCAGAATATAACAACACCTTTTGCTGTGGTTAATAGCAGTGATGTGGTTCTTTCTCTTTCCAGATTCTTCCTAAAATTTTTTCTCAAGTGCAATCAGAATTGCTTGAAAACAGCAGGAAACCCAAGAGATATGAGACGGTTCCAGGTAAGTCTTATAAGGCTCAGCATGAACCTGTCTGCCTCTGTTCTTCTTTTCCTTTCCTGTCTCCTCTCTCCTACCTTGTTCCTAACAAACACGACGACAATCTATGAAAAGCTGTATCAGACAGTGTTAAAGTTTTTCTCCATTTGTTGTGTTTAAACTGTTCTTTCCCCTTTTTCTTTTTTTTCCTTCCCTCTTTTTCCACCCTGAATCCCCAGGGGGAAGTGCTGTACTGTACCAACCAGCAGTGGATATTTGATTTGACACCCTCGGGCAAAGCACCGGCGCATACAGCTGCCCACAGCAGGGATCGTG